ATGGCCCTATTCTTGATTGTGATGGTTACATGAATGTGCATTTCTCAAAACTTATAGAATAGCATGCCAAAAAGTGAATTCTGCTATATAAATTTAAAAAATAAATGCGTAAAAGTAAAAATAAAGTAATAGGCCCATGCTAAATTCAAACAATACAAGTAATTCAGTAAAAAGCCTCCCTCTCAAATCTTTGTGGTGATAGAATAATAGTTTTGTATTTTGAGTGCAGTGGTGGTTACACAAATCCACACATGTGATAAAATGACATAGAACTATACACACACTTTATACCAATGTCAATTTCCTGCTTTTTGTCTTATACTATAGTTAGGATGTAACCATTGCGGGGGAAACTGGGTAAAGGATTCTGGGAGCTCTATTATTTTGCAACTTTGTGTGTGTGTGTGTGTGTGTGTGTATGTGTTTTAAGTATCTTCCAACCAAGCTTCCAGACTCTAGTCCTGCTCTCCAGAGGCAAACGCTATTACAAATTTCTTTCATATGCTCTGCATATGAAATCGAATATCTCATATATGGATGTGTACATATAAATTTATACACGCTTATAACACAAACAGTACCATGTTATACACATTGTTCTGCACCTTTCTATTTTTAACTAACTCTTACTTTGGAGGTTTTTCCATATCACAAACACGTGGATCCACATCATTCTTTTTCCCTGCTTCATAATATTCCATCACACATTGGTAGCATGCTTTATTTCAAGTTTCTTAGCGGTGGACAGTCCGGTCTTAACAAGGAATTGAATTTAAGTAATTTAGACATTTTTAAAATATGAAAGGTGAGCTGGAGTTGAGACTAAACACAAAGTTTTCACAGGTTCAAGACTTGCCTCCAAAATAGCTTTTGACCGGAAGAGGAACGCCAGAGGCTGGAGAGGCAAAACGCTGGGAAATTTCCTCGGCCAATGGGGAAGCGGTGGGGCGGTCAGAGAATTACTGCCGGGTAGGATTTCGCTGAGGGGCGCCCTACTGCTGGAGTTGGAGGCCATACTCCAAGCCAAGCTCTCCCCAGGCTGCTGCTCGGCCATACCGAAGTGCGTCAGGGTTATGCACCATGTAGTGATGCGTGGCGGTCTCCAGCCTCAGGCAGGGATCCACTCCCCAGGCAGATTCTGAACCCCCACCGCCTCCAGCCCACGCGCGCAGGGGGCGTACACGTGGTGACCTGCCTGGGGCCGGTTCCCTGCTCGGGCTCCTCCTCCTTCCAGCTCTCGTTCTGCTTTCTGCAGTATCACGTGCAGCCGCGCCGGGTGCAGGATGGCGGCGGCTGCAGCCGCGGTGGGCGTCAGGCTCTGGGACTGCTGCAGCCAGGGCGCTGTGCTCCTGCTCTTCTTCTCCCTGTCCCCTAGGCCACCGGCCGCCGCCGCCTGGCTGCTGGGCCTGCGGCCCGAGGACACCGCTGGAGGCCGCGTGTCCCTGGAGGGGGGCACCCTGCGCGCGGCAGAAGGCACCAGCTTCCTCCTGCGGGTGTATTTCCAGCCTGGGCCCGCGGCGCCTGTGGCGCCGGTGCCCGCACCCACCCTTTCAACGGGGGTGAACGGCACCGGCGACTGGGCTCCGCGGCTTGTGTTTATCGAGGAGCCCCCGGGCGGGAGCGGCGTGGCGCCCAGCGCTGTCCCCACGCGCCCCCCGGGGCCGCAGCGCTGCCGAGAGCAGAGCGACTGGGCGTCGGACGTGGAGGTCCTGGGGCCCCTGCGCCCCGGAGGCGTGGCAGGCTCGGCTCTAGTCCAGGTGCGGGTGCGGGAGCTGCGCAAGGGCGAGGCAGAGCGGGGCGGCGCGGGCGGTGGCGGGAAGCTCTTCTCGCTGTGCGCCTGGGACGGGCGCGCCTGGCACCACCACGGCGCCGCCGGCGGCTTCCTGCTGCGCGTCCGCCCGCGGCTCTATGGCCCGGGCGGGGGCCTGCTACCCCCTCCGTGGCTGCGGGCTCTTGGGACGCTTCTGCTGCTCGCCCTGTCTGCCCTGTTCAGCGGCCTGCGCCTGAGCCTGCTCTCGCTGGACCCGGTGGAGTTACGGGTGCTGCGGAACAGCGGCTCGGCCGCCGAGCAGGAGCAGGCGCGCCGTGTACAAGCCGTGCGCGGCAGGGGCACACAGCTGCTCTGCACCCTGCTCCTGGGCCAAGCCGGAGCCAACGCGGCCCTGGCCGGCTGGCTGTACACTTCGCTGCCGCCGAGCGTCGGGGATCCCGGGGAAGACTACGGCGAGGCAGGGCTTCACTTCCCGTGGCTGCCGGCACTCGTGTGCACCGGCGCCGTGTTCCTGGGCGCTGAGATCTGCCCCTATTCAGTGTGTTCTCGGCACGGGCTGGCCATTGCTTCGCACAGCGTCTGCCTGACCCGGCTGCTGATGGCAGCCGCCTTCCCCGTGTGCTACCCGCTGGGCCGACTGCTGGACTGGGCTTTGCGCCAGGAGATCAGCACCTTCTACACGCGGGAGAAGCTGCTGGAGACGCTGCGGGCGGCGGACCCCTACAGCGACCTGGTGAAAGAGGAACTCAACATCATCCAGGGCGCCCTGGAGCTGCGCACCAAAGTGGTGGAGGAGGTGCTGACCCCCCTCGGAGATTGCTTCATGCTGCGCTCTGACGCTGTGCTCGACTTCGCCACGGTCTCCGAGATCCTGCGCAGTGGCTACACTCGCATCCCCGTGTACGAGGGCGACCAGAGGCACAACATTGTGGACATTCTGTTTGTCAAGGACTTGGCCTTCGTGGACCCCGATGACTGCACCCCACTCCTCACCGTCACCCGCTTCTACAACCGGCCCCTGCACTGTGTCTTCAATGATACCCGGCTGGACACGGTGCTGGAGGAGTTTAAAAAGGGTGAGCAGCGGTCTATCTCCTCCTTCAACTACCCCCTTCAAAAGTATTGCCCTTTCATAAACCTGTGAGGCTTCAGGCACCCAAAGCAACTCTCCTATGGCACCAGAACCTCAAGGTAGACCCCACTTCATGACTCCCCGGCTCTTTTCATTTCACTTCTCCCTACCTTCCTTGCGGCTGACTGAGCCCCAGGCCTCTTCCCCTTGATTTGGCTCACAAGATGCCTCATATTCCTCATTCATTCCATTCCAATATTTTTCCAGGGCCTACCAATTGCCAGGTATTGAGCAGGATGGAGTCTGGAGATCGCCCTGGGAAGTCATGGCAGGAGAAACCTCTCCTCACCCATTATGGGAGGAACCTCTACAGGTTCCTGTACCAAGCAGCCTTTCTTTTAAACTCCTCCCAGGGCTGGAAGCTCACTATTTCTAGGGCAAACTCACTCCACTGCTGGACAGCTCCAGCTGCTGACAGTGTCTTGCTCACGTGGAGCAGACATTTATTTCTCCCCAGCTTCTCTCTGGGTCCTAGTTCTGCGCTTTGAATCACTGAATCACATAGAGTGAGCATCAGACACCTTAGACATTCTGCGCCCCCCCCCATTTAATTTTCCATCAGCTATTTACACATCAAGGTTTGGAGATTAAAAATTGACTAAGGCAGTGAGGTGCTTATACTTCTGGGAACTGTGGTCCCATGAGGCAGGATAGATCTGGACCCAAGGAAATATTCTGGTAAAGGAAACCACTAGAAAATTTGCGTGTCCAAATGCATGGGGTTTCCTTCAGAGCTGTCATCATCTTCCCCTACACCCCCCAATGTCATGCTTGTAACGTGTTTACTACATGGCTGGGGTTTGTCTTGGAAACTGTGTTCTGGGGTTGAGTACAATTCACTCAAGAAAAATCAGCCTGGGTACTTTAGGGTCAATCCTTGGCATTCCACAGTTTGACTAGTCCCCCTAGTTAACTGGAGTTGATCCAGAAGGACCCTTGGTTGTTTTTGAAAATCAAATCCACCTTCATGAGTCACCATTGAAAACATTCAGAAGACTATCTCACAGACCCTGAAAGCAATTCCAGAAATGATTTGAGAACAGTGACATGGTTAGAAAAAGGTAGACCCTTCCAGAATGACCATTTTGAAAGAGGCAGTTACATATCAGTTGGCATGTTTATTAAACACTAAACTAAACAAAAAAATTAACTCTGCCTTTAGAATCAGGCTTCAAATGTAGCGTCCCTGTAACTAGCAGGAATCTCATTTTTTATTTTGTTTGTCAAAAATTCAGTCTCATTGCCTTATCATCACAGGTACTCTTTAGCTCTTTGCATTCAGAGAGAAATCGGGGGTCTTCCTCCTGCTACCAAGGGGAATAGTGTCAAAAGCTGCTTTTAGTCTCAGATTTCAGGAGAAAATAGCCCTAGACTTTGTATTGGAATCATGAGTAGCGGAGGAAATGTATATATATTGCAGCTGTTTTAGCTCAATTGGGCTACTGTCTCACCCTCTTCTATCTGTCTCCTAGTCCTTGCATGATTCGTTCCCACTGCACTCTGAGTTTCATCCGTCCACTCTAGAATTATTCTTCTGTTTTGTGTACGTTACAGAAGGGAGTCTTGGATCTGGCCTTAAAAGCTGTGAAAATCTGTATTAGTTTGCTAGGGCTGCCATAACAAAATACCACAGACTGGGTAGCTTAAACAATAGAACACTATTTTCTCACGGTTTTGGAAGCTGGGAGTCTAAGATCAAGGCGTCAACAGTCTTGATGTTGTTCTTCTGAGACCTCCCTGCTTGGCTTGCAGATGGCCGCCTTCTCACTGTGTCCTCTTCCCTGGAGTCTATTTGTGTGTTCTAATCTCCTCTTCTTATGAGAACACTCGGCAGATTGTACTAGGGCCCACCCTATCAGCCTCATTTTCACTTAACCACTTCCTACATGTAATAATTAAGACAGTGTGCAGTTAAGACAGTGTCTCATTGACATGTGCTGCCAGAAGACGTTTTTAATGAAACTCCTGTGAACCCAATGATTCATTCATTTAATATTTATTGAGCATCACATACTGTTAGGAAACAGGGGAGACAGTAAGACTGCCCTCAGAAAGTTGGTCTACAGGAGCATGCAGTGTTAGAGGAAGAGCAGCCTTCAGAGGTAGAAATTGTGTCTTACTAATCTTTGTATCCCCAGCACACAGTGCCGTGCACACAGTAGGCTGCTCAAACAAAAGTTGACATTAATCTGAAATGAGTCCTGTTGCAGGATTTTTAGATCTGGTCTGAAAAGGGCTTGTTATTGGTCGATTAGTAGTTTCTAATTAAGTAGTTCACTAAAGAGAAGCTTGCCATGACAGAGAACACCTCGCCAAGGAAGATATGCCCACATCCCTTCAGAGCCTTGCTCCTTCCTCAAAGTGTGATCCATGAACCAGCAGGGGCCTCACCTGGGAACTTTTTAGAAAGGCAGAATTCCATGCCTCCCTCTAAATCCACAGAATAAAGGTCTGCATTTTAACAAGCCTTCAAGTGACTCATGTGTACATGGAAGTTTGAGAAGCATTGCCTGCAGAGAGCCCTTGTTAACAGTGATTGGTAGATTTTCTTAGGATAGAATAAATACAAGGAACAATTATCAAGGTGGGTGTTCTTTGGCTCCAAGCCATAAAATACAGTGGTCACTTTCTATAAGAATTATGTTTGCACCATAGGTTAAGAGAGGAAAGCTGGTTGGACTACTTTTTTTTTTACCTTTAAAAATAACTTTTTAACTAAGTCATAAAAGCTCTTCCATGTCCCTCATTCTTCGCATCTCAAGTTACTTCACCACCTAAACAAACCCCTCAGGCAGTAGGAGAGGAAACTGATCATATTAATAGGAACAACAGTTAGCATTAATTGAGTGACAGCTCTGCTGGGCACCATGCCAAGCACTTTACATACTCAGAACCCTCCAGGGTAGGTATTATTAACTCCATTTTACAGATGAAGAAACTAAAGCTTGCATCAATTACACGACTGGCTCAACTTTCCATAGCTAATAACTGACCAAAGTGTGAATTGAACTAGGATGGTAGGACCCCCAAAGCCTGTTCTATTTCCCACTATCCCAGTCTTATTCCGTCCCCCATTTCAGAACTCCTGCCACCCACTGGGTTCAAAGCTGGCCCTCTTGACTTGCTGCCCATGGCTGATTCACTTCTAGTTTCTGCAGATTAGCAATGTAGCTTTTATAATGACAATAATTGCTAACATGCATATTGCATTTTATAAAACATGTCTACCTACCTTCTATCTGATCCTTAAAACAATCCTACAGCTATAAGTGAGTACCCTAAAACCAGAAGGGTTACTTGGCCAGCCAAAGTAACCACTCAGCTAGTATATTCCAAGGCCCAGATTCAAATCCAGTTCATGTGATTGTAAAGCTCTTGTCCATATGGGATTTTATGTCTAATCTTCCTAGGAGCTCTGGGTCTTTAGAAACCGGGGAAAGGAAAATAGTCTTTTCCGCTAGCATGCTAGCTTTACAAAAGGGAGCAATAGTTCTCCCCCACTGCACTGAGTTCCTTGAGGGCAGAGAATGAATCTTATTTACTTTATATTCTCAGGATAAGCGCAGTGGCCACCGTGCCTAGGGGATGAATAAACATTTATTGAATGAATGGATTTAAATAGCTAACTTCTACTATACTTCTATGTTCAAGTGAGGTGAGCCCTAAGTACAGAATAATTAGTGTTGTTTGTTCCATTGATGGTAACCAATCTCTCTTCGTCCTTTTCCTGGGTTCTCTACCCCAGTTAGTGGCACCTCTGCCTTCACCACCTACCCTCATCCTACTTATCACTGTCCTAGTCTGCTGGGGCTGCCATAACAAAATACATTGGGTGGCTTAAACAACAGAAATTTGTTTTCTCGCAGTACTGGAAGCTGGAAGTCCAAGATCAAGGTTCCAGCTGATTTGCTTTTTGGTGAGATCCTTTTCCAGGCTTGCAGAGGGCTACCTTCTTGCTGTGTCCTCACATGACCTTTCCTGGGTGCATATATGGAGGGAGTAGGGAGGGAGAGAGAGAGAGAGAGAGGAAGAGAGAGAGAGAGAGAGAGGGAGAGAGAGAGAGAGAATAAGAGAATAAGAACACACTGGTCTCTCTTCCTCTTCTTATAAAGACATCTGGTGAATTAGGGCCCCACCCTTATGATCTCATTTAACCTTAAATTACTTTCGCAGATGCCCAGTGGGGTTAGGACTTCAACATATGAATTTGGGGAGGGGAGGGACACAAACATTCAGCCCATAACAGTCACCAAAGTCTGCCAAATATTTGGAACAAAGTCGGAAAAAAATTTGCCAATATTGCATCCAAAATATTTCTTGTGTTTATATATAACTTAGTCCATTATTTCTTCCACTTAGGTTATTCATTGATTTTATTCAACAAATAGTTACTGTGTGCCTGTTGTGCAGGCACAGTGGAGAACACCAATCGTATGGTCCCTGTCTGCATGGTGATTTCATTCTAATCCAAGAAACAGAAATTAAACAAGTGGGATAATGATTAAGAGCATAAGCTTTGATGCCAGACTGCCCGGGTTGCAGACTGTTTCGTTAGCTGTAAAGTGAGGATAATAATAGTATTTACACAAAGGGTTGTTTGACACATTAAGATAATATCGCATCGTAATGCTTATTTAGTAACTGTCATATATTAAATGCTAAATAAATGTTAGCTATGATTATTATATATAAACACATATCTATTATTCATTTGTGCAAGTGCCTCCTAAGTTTTGCTTCTTCCAATTTTTGTCTCCCTCAAATTCGTCCTCTCCACTGCTACTAAAATAAACTCTGGTGACATCATCAACTACTTTAAACTCTCCTGCACTCCCCACCAGCCTGCAGGATGAAGTCTAAGCTGTGACCTCATGACCTGCTCCCTGCCCCCCCCCCTAGTCTCCTCACTCACCACTCCCTGCCTCAGCTGTATGCTCAAGCAAC